TTACTTGGGTGTGTAGGAAGAGGTTAGGCAAGTAAGCAAGAGAACTTAGGAATGTATAGATCTTATATTGCTTACAAGGAGAAAATTACAACTTGGTTGCTTGGTGAGGAACAAATGAACTCCCACCTCCTATTTATAGGCCTTTGGCCTTACAAGAACATTCTAGTTGTGTATAAATGTGTGGCCTAGAATAAATGTCTAGAATCCTCCAAAGATATATCTACACAATTCTAGAACTATCTATAATATACAAGACAAGTCTAGAGAATTCTATATAACTCTAGACAAGTCTAGAAAAGGCTAGACAACTCCACACTAATCTAGAGAATTCCAGAAAGTTCCATACTTGTATAGAGAAGTTTAGAAAGCTCCGGTCCATGCAGGCTCCATGTCATCGTCTGCTGGGCGTCTGCGTGGCGCCTGCGAGGCGTAGCCTCTTGGTTACGGGGCGTGGAATTCTCCCCCACCTAAGCTCACGATGCCCTCGTCGCATCTTCTTACTTGAACCGCTAGATATGCTCCGCGAACTACCAAAGTGTATCCTCGTGCTCCCAGCTCGCCTCGCTATCTGGCAAGTTCTTCCACTTCACTAAATACTCTGTATACTTGGGCACGCTTCTCCTGCTCATCACACGATCCGCAAGGATACAATCAACTTCCTTGTCGAATAATGTGACAACAGCCATGGGTGCCCTTTGCGATATGCCCCGGGTAAGGTCTTCCGTGTCTTCATGATAAAGCTTGAGCATACTGACATGAAAGACTGGATGTATCTTTAACTTGGGTGGAAGCTCCACCATGTAGGAGACCTTGCCTACCCTCTTGACAATGGGGAATGGGCCCTCGTACTTCCTTACTAACCCCTTATGCACGCTTCAGAAGGACTTAAACTGTTGGGGTAGTAACTTAACCATCACCTGGTCTCCCACTATGTACTCCACCCGCTTTCGCTTGGTATCGGCCCACTTTTTCATCTTCTTTGCCGCCTTGTCAAGGTACACCCTAGCCAAGTCGGATTGCTCATGCCACCTCTTAGCAAATTTGTAGGCTGCCGGACTTTTACCATTGCAAACCGAAGTAATGGCGTTGGGTGTCATAGGCTGCCATCCTGTAACAACCTCAAATGGACTGTGATTGGTAGCCTCACTCCGTTGCAAGTTGTAAGAAAACTGTGCCACTCCAAGGAGTTTGGCCCAACCTCGCTGATTGACACTTACATAGTGCCGCAAATATAGCTCAAAGAGAGCGTTGATGCACTCCGTCTGCCCATCTAATTGGGGGTGGAAACTCGTAAAGAAGTTGAGATCCGTCCCCATCTTCTTGAAGAGCCCCGTCCAAAATCTACCCGTGAAGTGCAGGTCTCTGTCACTGACAATGTTTTGCGGAACTTCCCAAAGCTTGACCACATGGTCAACAAACAATTCTGCTGCCCTCTCTGCTGTGCAATCTACTGGTGCGGGTATGAAGGTGGCATACTTGCTGAACCAATCTACCACCACTATAATACTCCCGCAACCCTCTGACTTTGGCAAGCAAGTGATGAAATCCATAGAGGCGCTCTCCCATGGTCTCTCTGGAATAGGCAATAGCTCTAGTAGGCCTGCGGAATGCTGTTGCTCAATCTTGTCTTGTTGGCATACAAGATAAGTCCTCACATATGTCTCCACATCATCGCGCATCCGAGGCCAATAATATGAATCTTCAAGGAGTGCTAGTGTGCGCCGCATACCTGGGTGACCAGCCCATTTGGTGTCGTGGTACTCCCGTATCAACTCCTTTCGCAAGTTGCCCCACTTAGGCACAAAGAGTCGGTCCCCTGTAGTGAGAAGCAAGTCATCCCTTAGCCAAAAGTGTCAAGTTTTCCCTTCCTTAGCCAACTGAATAAGGTTTTTTGCTAGAAGATCATGCTGCAACCCTTCCTTGATCCGCTCCACAAAAGGGTGCTGGACCGACTAATAGCTGTGAGCTCGGCCTTGCAACTAAGCGCATCTGCCACAACATTGGCCTTGCCCGGCTTGTACTCAAAATGATAAGTGAACTCTGCTAGGAAATCCTGCCATCGAGCTTGCTTGGGGCTGAGCTTCTTCTGTGTCTGGAAGTAGCTGGTGGCAACATTATCCATCTTGATCATAAATTGTGCCCCGAGAGAGTAGTGCCTCCAAGTACGTAGGCAATGGATGACCGCCATCATCTCTTTCTCCTGCACCGTATAGCGCCACTCAGTGTCATTAAGCTTACGGTTCTTATAAGCTATGGGGTGTTCTTCCTGCATCAACACGACCCCAATAGCAAAGCCTGATGCATTTGTTTACACCTCATATGGCTTGGAGTGGTCTGGCAAGCTAAGTATCGGCTCCTCTGTGACTGCCCTCTTTAAGTCATCAAATGCCCCATGGCATAACTCTGTCCAATTCCAAACACGCGCCTTCTTGAGAAGGTCTGTTAATAGGGCTGCTCTTATAAAGTAACCCTTGATAAAGCGACGGTAGTAATTGACAAGCCTAAGAAATGAGCGTAGTTCTATCACCTCAGTGGGCGGCTCCCACTCTTGAATGGCCCTCACATTTGCCTCATCCATCATCAGCTTGCCATCCTGTATCTTATGCCTTAGGAACAACACCTCCTCTTGGGCAAATGAGCATTTCTCCATCTTCACATATAGGTCGTTCTCTCGTAGGACTTGGAAGACCGCCCTCAAATGCTGCGTGTGCTCTTTTAGAGTGGTATTATACACAACAATATCATCCAAGTACCACAAAGCGATCCAAGTAGGGATGGAAGAGCTTGTTCATCAAAGTACAGAAAGTAGCAGGTGCATTGGTGAGAATAAATGGCATAACAAGGAACTTATAAGAGCCATACCTTGTCACATATGTAGTCTTAGGCTCATCCCCGTCCGCTATTCGCACTTAATAGTATTCGGAGCGCAAGTCTAGCTTAGTGAAGTAGCGTGCTCCACCAAGCTGATCAAAAAGATCCGCAATAAGAGGAATGGGGTACTTGTTTTTGACATTCGCCTTATTTAGCGCCCGGTAGTCAATGCACATACGCAAGGACTCGTCCTTCTTCCTCTGGAACAGCACCGGTGCGCCATGTGGGACCTTCGAGGGTCAAATATAGCCCGCATCTAACAGTTCCTTAAGTTGCCTCCGCAACTCCTCTAACTCTGGTGGTGCCATCCTGTAGGGCACCAAAGCAGGGGGTTTAGAACCTAATTCCAGCTCAATCTAGGTGGAAGCTTCTTGGGCAGCTCCTTAGGCATCACGTCCGTGTACTCGTCTAGCACGACTCGTATCTCCTTAGGCACCTCTTCTTGTAGGGAAGGGACTAGCTCATCATCGGGCATCTCCATCAACGTAGCAAGATAGCTAGTCTCACCCTTCCTGAAGCCCTTCTTGAACTACATAGCTGACAAGGCTTGGGCTTCCAACTTGGCGCCTCGCTCTACTGGCACCATACATGCTGTGTTGCCTTCCATAATACACATAGTGTTAGCAAAAGAAATGGGGAAAACTCTCACCTTGTTTAAGAACTCCAACCCAAGGACTAGTTTGAAGTCGTCCATGGGTACCACCGATAGATCTATGTGGCCACCCCACTCGCCAATGCATGCTTGGAAACCGTGTGCCATGCCATGTATAGCTTTTGCCGCCGAGTTAACTACCTTCATGGAGCCCCCTTTTTTACTATACTTGAGGCCCAACCTCTTGGCCTCGTCAAGGCTCACAAAGTTGTGGGATGCACCTGTGTCCACCAAAGCACGTGTGGGTGTCCCATTAATGCTCGCCTCCACGAACATTAGCCCCTTAGCCGCCGCCTTAGGGACTTCAGTTTTAGCCTTGATGGCATTAAGGATTTGCAGTGAACCCATCTGCACCTCTTGTTGCTGTTGTTGCTCCTCATAGTGGTTTGTCATGGCATTGAGGGTCTTCCTCTTAGGGCAATCTCTCACCCAATGTGGCCCGTCACATATAAAGCATGAGCCCTTGAGTTTAGGTGTTCCCTCCTTGTTCTTCCTTCCCTCTTTGCCACCATGGCCACCACCTGGCTTACAGGACCAATTCTTATAGGGTGTAGCGCCTTTGTCTCCCCATCTTTGCCGGCATACCGACCCTTGTCCTTATCTTTGTCATTTGGCTTGGACGAGGGTTCTTTCTTGGAGCTGAAATCAATAAAGACTCTGCTTCTGCAATAGCCATAGCAAGGTCTTGCACGTTACGCCTCCTCAATTCCGTCTTGGCCCACAATTGCAAGCCATCCATGAAGAAGAAGAAAGAGTCCTTGTCGGATAGATCCGGGATCTCAAGAGTCAAGTTAGTGAATTCTTTCACATAGTCCCGGATCGACCCAACCTGTTTTAGCTTTCGGAGTCTGCCCCTGGCTTCATCCTCGGCATTCTCAAGATAGAAATGCTTCTTAAGTTCTCTCGTGAAATCAGCCCAAGTATCAATAGAGATCGTACATTTACCTATGTCGTCATACTTCTTCCTCCACCATAGCATGGCATGGTCGGTGAGGTAGAGAGTCATCGTACGTATCTTGATGGTCTCATCTGTCATACCCGTAGCCTCAACGTATTGCTCCATACTGAATAGGAAGTTCTCCAACTCCCTCGCTACCCGGTTCCTACCATAGCACTTAGGTTTAGGAATATCAACCCGGGGTGCTACTACCCCCGTAGTAACTGTGCCGGACGCCACCGCCCGTTTGCACAACACCCAGTCCGCTCTCATTTCCTCCATTTGCTCACGGAAAGTGCCAAGCTCCTATCAACATAGCCACGTAGGGTCGCAAACTCGCCCAACATAAGTTTTCGAAGTGCTTGGAGCTCCTGCCGAAAGTCACCACTTAGGGCATTGAGTGACCCTTTGACAGTATTCTAGACCTCAACGTCCTCCGACTCCGGCCCATCCATGCGCTGGTGAACATCCTTAAGCTGCTTCAACACGTTGGCTATGGACCCCTCCATGTTTGCCACACGTGCCTCTAAGCCCATTATGATGTCCTTCGACCTAGCCCTTGTCCTCACTCCGACTGGAGGGAGATTTGCTTCCCTACCACGTGCCTCCTCCTCTTGGGTATTAGTCACATCTGATAGCTCTGCTATAACTTCTTCCAAACAAGGTGTGACGCCTCACGACCTTAGCTCTGATACCAACTGTGACGGACTTGAACCTTTCCAAGCTCACGTGCGGCCTTAGACACTTTCAAGCCCCCTTGAAGTGCTAAGTTAGCCTACCCGAGTGTGCTAGCTTAGTGAAGACTAAGACTAGACAAGTGTTTTGCTTACTTGGGTGTGTAGGAAGAGATTAGGCAAGTGAGCAAGAGAGTTTGGGAATGTATAGAACTTGTATTACTTACAAGGAGAAGATTACAACTTAGTTGCTTGGTAAGGAGCAAATGAACTCCCACCTCCTATTTATAGACCTTTGGCCTTACAAGAACATCTAAATGTGTACAAATGTGTGGCCTAGAATAAGTGTCTAGAATCCTCCAAAAATATATCTACACAATTTTAGAACTATCTACAATGTACAAGACAAGTCTAGAGAATTCTAGAAAATTCTACACAACTCTAAACAAGTCTAGAAAAGGCTAGACAACTCTACACTAATCTAGAGAATTTCGGAAAGTTCCATACTTGTGTAGAGAAGTCTATAAAGTTCCGGTCCATGCAGGCTCCATGTCATCGACTGCTGGGCGTCTACGTAACGCCTGCGTGACGTAGCCTCTTGGTTGCGGGACGTGACAATATGCTACAAAGGCATAAAAATGTAGTACTGCAGTTCCTCTTTTGGTAGTAGAGGAATAATCCTTGTCCCTCATTGGCAACAAATTAAAATATAGGAAGTATTTATGAAGTTTCAGCATCTTATAGGATGTACAGCGTGCACATTTTGTATGAAGGGTGGATATAAACTTCTGAAGCTTTTTTAAGGGTATCGATGTACAATACCTGCATAATAAGGGTGACCTGGGTATTCCCTGGTCTTGGACCTACCCCGAACTGGAGTTGATTTTGCGCATTTGTCCCTTAATCCACCCAACACAATTTACTGATTTCATAAACATTGTCTTTGTTGGGGCAGGCATGGGGCCAGAGTAACCCAAATAAATTAAGTTGATTGCATCCCTAGAAACAGCCAAAATACTTTTGCAGCTGATTTGAATTTTTTGTCCCTTATCAATTGTTTCTTTGTATTCAAAGCTAAATGGATTAAATGAATAAAACAACATCGTTTTTGCACATTAAGATTTTGTATATAAATTTGCCCGGTAATCTGTTTTATTTTTTAATTTTATGAAATTCTGAAGGAACAATTTTGACGAAAGACAAGTGCAGGATTATTTTTAAAAAAATAAATAAAAAGATAAACAAATATTTTATCATATACGGTCCAACGTTTCAGGTCAACTATTCTTACTCCCTGTCTCCGCTCCAAATGAGAACTACAGAAAAATTCACTAAGGCTAGTCTTCATACATCTCTCCACACCAAGTCTACCGAATTGAAGGAATTCGAGCCTGCTGGTACCTCCCCTCCCCCGGCTTACATCCCGGTGTACATGGACAGGTTTTAACCTATATCAAGAATAGTCTTTCTATCTAATTGCTAACCACTTCCCCCTAAGTTTGAAAGAGAAGGGTCCCTTTCACAAACGGCTTCTTCGTTTGAGGTTCCGCCAGTTCATTAATGACAAGGATGTGATACTGAAGTCCCGGTTCAAGCAGGCATCAATGCCTTCAACAGGTGCACGTACCCGCTGTTCCCCTGGGAAGCGAACTTCCTTATGAGCGGTGCATAAAATTTCCCCTTTTTTTCGTAACACAAGTACAGCTTTTTCTCCTGTAACACAAGGTTTCCCCATGTTTTTTGTCTATAATTTTATTTTCAAACAGTTGACAAATTTATATGATAGTTTGTGTTAAGAATTATGCCTAACATTGTGAGGGGGCAGGATTTATGTACCTATCAAGTAGCTGTCATACTGTATGATATAGTTCTCTGTTAGAGAATACATTACTCTTTGCAAATGAGAAAAAAAATTAACATTATAGGTCTTGTATTTTGCAACAGATAGCATAGTAGTACATTTTTTACATCATGATTTATCTTCCATGGTAGCACCAGAGTATGTAATTGCCCCCTCTACTAACTTTGATAATATGAACACTTTGTGATATTGTGGCCAAATAACAAGAACGGGAAGTCATTGATCTGGTGACTTAGTGCAGCAAACAAAGACAAAACAGAAGTCCAATCACCGTTAGTTTATATACTGATAATATCTCAAACTTATATAGATCAAAAGTTGTTACTACTTAGAAAACGGGCTTCCCTTCAATAAAATAGCCAATAATGACCTCTAATCTTCCTAGACAGACTTTAGAATTCCCACACAACATTAATAAAACCCTAGAGGCTAGAGCTTTCCTGACTAATCACTTAATAATTTTATAGCTTAATTACTACTTAGTTACCAAAAAAAGAATGACTCTTTTGACTTCTTGAAGACACTTTTCAGAGCTCCATTAATTATTTGCATCACTTTGCCAATCTAGCTTGTTTTTCACAACAGAATCTAAAACTTTGGCTAGTAATTGGATTGTGGGCCATGCCCTTACTAATGTTTATTATTAGCGTATTTATATTGTCTGTGAGATCAGATAGTTCTCTTTCTCTCTCCCTCCCTCTCTCTCCGGGGGGGCATGTGTGTAAAGTTAAATTTTATTTTTGTTGATTGATTGACAGTCGGAACTTGTTGAATTTGTTACAGGAACACTGCAAAGACATTTTATGCTGCAAGCATATTTTTATGAGATTTGGTGAACTTCATCCTGATGTGAATCTTAGCAAGGGAGACGAAGTATGAAATTAGTTGCCTATTAAACCCAATTTAAAATTACAACTAATCAACAACAACCACTGAATCTATCGCATTTGCACCAAATATAATTAAAAAAAATATTCAAGGCAGTTACAACATGAGAAAGTTTTGGTTTTTCATTGAATTTTATTCATAGATGAACCAATTTCACTTCTGATTAACATCTATGCAATGGATTTGATGGTGAAAACTTTGATGAACATAGTTATCATCATTGTGGGTTCTCAATGTGCAGTAGTACTCAACAAGGGTCTATAATGCATTAGTTGAAGGATCGATCTACTGAGTTTTTTAGTTCACAAAAAACTGAATAGAAAATATATTAAAGGAAAGAAAAAAGTTAATACATGTATTGAACTTGATTAGAGAAGAGTTTAATAAGTAGTTAAAAAAAGTTATAAAAAAAAAAAAAAGTTAATTCATCTTAGAACTTGATTAGAGAAGAGTTTAATAAGTAGTTAAATATTTTTGAAGAATTTCTTGCTATTTTTTTGGCTTGGCAGGATCCCGAACCAAGCAGATTTGAGCCAGATACCAAACCTGCACCAGAATCTGAGCCATCACCTCAGTTCTATGATGAAGTTAACACCCATCATTCCGCGAACATTCCACCATCACCTCCATCAAATATTCTGCCATCACCCCCTCTTTACCGTACTACCAGTTATACTTCCCAGCATTTTCATCCACCTCCTTCAAGCAACAAATCAGAGAATTCTACTTATTTGCAGCCACATCACCATCAACCCTACCCGCAAGAGCCTCAACAGCATTTGCCTCAAAATTATCCGTCCCAAGAGCCTCAACAGCATTTGCCTCAAAATTATCCGTCTCATGAGATTCCCTCGTACTCATATCTCAATTTCCAATCTTACCCTAGTTTTAGGGAGAGTAACCTCCCAGCAGCACCATCTCATTATCCTTCCTATCATCAGGGCTCCGATGCTTCCTACTCTACCTCATCGGCTACTCAGCCGAACTACCAAGCAGCTGCTCAGTACAATTCAGGCAACAGAAACGGGACTGTTTCAGAAGCCGTACCAACTTCTGCACAAACATATCAATATGACAGCAATTACCAGCCACCAGCTGAGAAAATGCAGTAGACTTCATTAAAAAATCACTTGAACTGTTGACAATCCCATCGAAGGGTCAGTAGAATTGATAATTTGATCTCACAGAGCTGGGAGTTGTTTCTGTTTTATTCCATCTCAGTCCATTTGTTCTTTTCTTTCCCTTTCTTTTCTAATGAAAAAAGTTGCTGTATTCTATATGATCACTGACCGATTTGGAAGTTAATAGTTGGATTTTGAGTTTCAGCAATCAGTTTGTGAAATGTCAATATTTTGGTTCTGCTGTGGTCTTCTCTTCTCAACACCGTGCATTGGTGGAATACTGTGTTTTGCTGGACCATCGATCACAAACAAGAAGTATAATATTTCAGGACAGGATTGTGCCTTTCAGTATCTGAATCTAGCTTTATTCAATGTCAGCGGTCTCAGTGAATGGTAGGGTTGCACAAAAACACCTTTGGAACCGGTAAAAACCAATCAAATTGAATTTCAGTTCGGTTTCATGTCTCTAATGATCCGGTTGTAATTTCAATTTTTTGAGGAACAATTCAATTCCGATTTAGTCCAAAACCGTCGTGCATCATGTGCACCATTAGTGGATGGTAAATTAAACTTGTTTTTATTATTGCAAGCATATGCTAAATTTAAATTAAACTTGTTTTTATTATCAATACGCTTTTCCAAACGATAATCATCCTTATTTGAATGTATATATGAGCCAAACATATATGAAACATAATTAAAATTTTAACCACCAGCACCATCATTTCAACTAAACATCCAACCAAATAAGAGTCCAACAAATTTAACCGTCCCCCGATGGTTGTCCCAAATCCAATAGACACCACACCCAATAATGGCCAAAGATTACTAGTATTTTCTGCATTCAAAGGTAGATAAACTTCAATATGTAAATAATAAATGATAATACAGATAACTTGTTGCTTTCAATTCCTAACACTTCTTTAACTATATATAACTATTTCTATGAATTTCAACTTCTTCTTTTGAGGGGGTAATTTTTTATTTCTTTTTCTTTTATTCTTGGATCCTTTCAAGCTAGAAAACAAAAAATGGAAAAAACTTCTTTATTAAAATTTATAAATCATAATTACGGGCAAAAAATTAATAACACATAATGATCATAACAACAACAATAATAATTTTCAAATCACACCTAGGATTCAATTTCAAAAGAAATAAACAGATTATTGTGTAAAGATTAATTATTTTCTATGACAACACACTATTTCCTTTTCTTTATTTTTTTTCATTCCTATTATATTTTACTTGTAAAACTGTGCGTGCGTGGGTAAAATATAATTTAAAATTAATATTTAACAAAGTAATTAAATAATTGTAAATTCTAAAATATTTAACAAAGTAATTAAATAATTAATAATTATAAATTCTTAAATATCGATTATTAACATAGAATTGGCATAAGGTATAAGAGATAAAAATATAATTTTTAATTGAACTTTACAATAGGAATTCAATTATTGATAGGTATATTTTCAAACTCCTAAAATAATATCAAAATCAAGACAATTTTTTATTACAATTTATTAATATTTTATTTATTTATATATTACAAAATTATTTATATATTATTTATAAAATTAGAAAAGAATTAGAGACTGAATAAACTAAATTATTTATATTTTTTTATATATAACTAAATTATTTATTTATTTTTTATATATTTTCTAATCTAATTAGATTTCCTCTTATTGAAAAAACTCATAATAAATAGGTAATTTGAGCTTTATTAAAACTTTTCTAAATAGGTAATTTGAATTTTATTCAAAACACCATATACTAATTTTAAAACAAAAACTCTAATGTACTGAAATATAATAATTTGTTTTATAAAATTAGAAAAGATGTGGAGACTAAATAGAATAAATTATTTATATATTTTATATATTTCCTTGTCTAATTAGAAAGACTAAATTATTTATTTTCTTTATATATTTTCTTATCTAATTAGATTTTCTTTTATTAAAAAAAAAACTCATAATAAATAGGTAATTTGAGTTTTATAGAAACTTTTTTAAATAGGTAATTTGAGTTTCATAGAAACTCTTCTAAACACCTTAGATTAATTTTAAAATAAAAATTCATAATAAATAGGTAATCTGTGTTATTCTTAAAAAAAACATACATACTAAACATATAAATTTATTATTAAAAATAATGTACTGAAACTCTTTAGATATAGATATAAATATAGATTATTATTGTTTACTTATTTTATTGTGTAAAGTTATACACTATTGATATTTTTATTTAAAACACATTTGCAGCTTAAAATAATATATTCTTTTACGAACTTACTGGTATATTTTTCTCTGCAATAGGAACGTTTTCGAGAACCAATATATAAGTTGCATTCTCCAACAATTCATTAATTCTTCCCCGCTCATCTGTCAAAAAAGAATAATAAAGATAAAAAAACACGTTAAATAAATAAATAAGGGTTTGAATACTAATAATTAAATGACAAAGGGAAAAGATACCCTTAAAAGAAAAGGAGAAAATAGAATGCAAATAATTGAGAAATTTTTTGCATTAGTTATGTCTAAACTGCATAATAATTGAGAAGGAAGTTATTCACCTTGCTCATACGCACAATCATCAAAATTAGCTTCACTGGGAAGAAACATCTTTCTAATATCCATCTCTACAGTGAGGAGACTAAATAGAACAATGCATGATGTACATGCACCACGGAGAAAATATAGGGCGTGCTCCATGCGGGCACATCCCAATAATCCTCGCTGTACATGCACCGAGGTATAGTATACGGACTACGATGCGTCGGGCACACCTAATACCATAGAGCAAACATGCATAGAAAACTACAAAACCTACCTTAAAAGCTAAATTCAACTCAACCACCACTCACTGAACAGTGATTAAAAATAAATCAAAATCTTTAGGTAAATATGATTTTGATAATGGAAAAAATGGACTTTATGCAAATCGAAGAGAGTAGAAGGATTTTTATAGCCACACTATCCGCTAATAATATGCAGTGCCAAACTATCCTCTAATATGCATAGGAGGAAGGCATATCAGGAAGAAGAGACTCAGACAGAAAACCCAAACACACTTCATCAGAGACCGCTGATCCCACAGCTCTTAAATTTTTTTTTAGAGTCCAACGGATAAAATAACTTCTGTATTTATCTGTATCTAAAACAAAAACATCTTAAACACATGTAGATTGTACACACAAAAACTAGTAACTAAAACAAAGAGCAAAAAACTACAAATCAGACCTGGAGGGTTAAGAAGCAGAAATTCTTTATCACAGCAGGGAATTCAATATTGTTACTGTTAAACCAAGCGACAGTCGTCGTCCACGAGAAGCATCCAGGACCTGCACGCAGTGATGCAGAGGTTAGATGTTGCTGTGAACTTCAATTGAGTTAATCAATTAAAACAAAGATCACAGTCGGGGAACAAGTGTGACATCAACTCAGTGTCACAACATTAACAAAAATGAAATAATAAGAGGATTCCGCATTCCTTTGTGAATATTTATAGACACACACAAACACTATATACACATATTATACCTATTTCAGCTAAAAATTTGGATTTTGGGATAATTAGACATTCCCACTAAATCATCCTTTTTATATATATATATATAGAAAAGCAACTGCTAACCACCTCATATCAAGATGCTAAAGACAAAAGAATCATATCCATCTTACAACTAAACCATGAAAATCTATTGAATAAAACAATATCAAAGCTCTAAATAAAATAACTAGCTACTTCTAAATTGAATATATAATTATACCCAGTAGTGAGATCACTAGGTATAGCCTAGGAACAACCAGTAAATGATTGTCAAACTAAAATTCAAACAAATTTACAAAAATCTCCCATAGCTTCAGAATTATCTACAAGTTGTAACCCAGATAGGCCACAATTGAGCTTAGGACGTGGAGGACAAATACTAGAACGTTGGCTAAGAATCCTCCAAGTGATTGTTAAATTAGTTCAAAAAATCAATTGAAGTGGTATATATATCAAGTATTAAATTTTATTTATACCAAGACATTGTCAAGGATTGATATAAATACAAACATTATAGAAAAATGAAATAGAACAGATCGAGATTACATTATACCAGTATCAACAGTTATCTTATATATGTTATGTTTCTATTTCTATTGATCAAAATAAAGTTCTCTAGTGAATTACCAAAAATTTGTCTATGACCAAAAAAAAAAAAAAAAGTAGTTCTCCAGTGTCACTCTGTTCTGAAGGTCATACTTAATTTTCATAGGTTCAAATTATAGCCACAATGTTCCTTGGCACATTAGAGGCTTAAATAATGCCCAAAAAATTTGAAGCTGTGACCTATATAAAGCATGATTATATCTGATGAGGTCACATACTCAGCATTACTGAACATTCACAACTTACTGTAAATCAAGAATTTCTAAAGCAATTTGGAGGCGGCACTAAATTCTTAGTTGGAACATATGCCCACAAATTAAAAAATAAAAAATAAAAAATAAATTCAAAAGTTCAAGCTTTAATAAACAATTAGCACATGGCCTTGCAGCACATAAAATACACAGCCAGATATTCTGGTAGCTTTTTCTGTACAAAGCAATTATAATAAATAGCACATAATTTTGCTTAAAATAAGTTTTTTATTTATTATTATTATTACATATCTATTTTAAGCACACTCTAATCTACTAGATTTTGGAAACTTCTTTTAAAAAACAACTACCTAACATCTTTTATGTGGTGACCTGAAGTTGGACTTTATGGATTCATTTCATTAAAGAATTGTCTCAAAAACATTTGGCAACATTAATACAGATTCTAATGAGTCACAAACTATAGTAATGGTGTTGTTGTTTAGTGAGTGAAGCAACAATAATTCTTCATACAGTAAATAAAATGATTAATGAGAAAGAAAAAATGACAAATGGAATACGATCTCATATTTCTAATAATAAATAGCCTCGTACGAAAACTAGAAATTTCAGTACTATTCTAATGGTGATGACAGATGGACATTTGCTATCAATCAATAAAACTACACGAAGCACAATATATTTCCCCAGACCAGTTCAACATTAATAACGAATGCAGGTATTTATCATCAAATCTTACAATTCCTTTTGTCACTCCCACACAGGAAGACAAACCACATATTTCCCATATCATAAAATGAGCTTAACACCTGAAATAACAATCAAACTTTACAGATTCCAGAGGACTGCAAGGCTATAAACCTGATAATTAGTATCAAATTAGACTTACTAAAACTCACAAATAAACTTATCAATTTGTTCTTAATACTTCGGAGGATCTTATAGTTAGGAACCAAGACTTTTTAGCTGCGGTTTCCACATGATACATATAACGACCCTAGCTGATGCCAAAATTTTAAAAAAAAATGGGCATAACCTCTCCTAAAAATAGGCCTTCAACAACCTGTCCCAATACACAAAACACATAAAATCATCCAGCATCCCATTCATCCGTTCATTATACCTCAACATAGTTCCTCTCATGGTGAAATATCCACACACCAATTAATCTAAATTATCATAATTACAGTCCCAAAATACAAGATTAATATTTAAAGTCCCTGTCCTACAACGTTACATGATACAATTGTATGGAAACATATACCATAATTCCATTAGTTTCATTTACATCAAACAAAAGATAAGTTCGTTCTTAAGTTACAAGGCCATGAATACTAACTTAATTACATCCCCACAAGTATGAATATACATAAAACGGTCAAAATACAAAATAGCAAACAACCTTCTAACAACTTTCAAGCTTGAGGTGGATTATCGTCCACCGGTTCATTTCCAAGACCTGAAAAAAAATAATATAAATAGTAGGGTGAACAAATATGCTCAGTAGGTGACGCTTAAGACACTTTTCTTGTGTCCCTGTGAATCCATACAAAGAATAGGCCAATAGGAAATGAGGATCATACAATGTCGGGAAATAATACAACATTCCAACTAAACTCAAGTACAACCCACACGATGCCATGAAATGCAAATGCATGCTAATGTCACTCCCCATTTTCTGTTCTCAAACATCACTTTCAAACTGTTAATATAACCCGCCCTTTGGTGACCCCGCAGCGACACGAGAGGAGGATTGGCTAGTGTCCCTGACCCTTGGTACCCCCGCGGCGTCATTATGGGGCCCAGCTAGCTTAACCACGCTAGGGCGACTCCCTAGTCCCCTCTAGGCTATATTAACACTCCGGCCCTTTGGTACCCCTGCGGCGACCGGGTTTTTTTCAAAACCGTTTCATCAAATCATTTTTCCCAAAATCTCATTTTTCATTTCAAACTCATTCTTCCCGTTTCATGCCCAATGTAAGTGCATGAGTGCATCAATACCATGAATTTAATCATCATTTCACATTCACTCTATTTAAGTAAGCAAGACATAATTTCGCAAGAATTTCTCAAGAGATTATAACATGCTCTTGTACAACAATGCATCTAACACAACGAACATATATAAATCATCACATAAGCAAGAATTTTCACGTAAAACATTTAAAACAAGTTCTCACATAACCACATACACATGCTATAATTTCTTTAAACTACAACTAGCATAAGTAAACATGTCTAGCATCAAATTAGAAGATGTAATTCACATAGGAGCAAGAAACTTGTGGATTAAGAGCCCCTACCTCAAATTTGCACAAAATCCTTAAAAGTAGGTCTTGAATTTCGAAATCCAAAGGGTGTACAAAAACTGAAATTGATGGTATGGATGCGTAGAGCTCGTCGTGGGCTTCGTTTTGCCTCAAACGGCACTTAAAAATACTAAAAGATGAGGGAGCAATCAAACCTTGAAGATTGAAACCATAAAATAAAATAAAAAAAAACAGAGAGCTTCTGGAATGAGAGAGAAGCTTACGGGAAAAATGAAAAAAATTAGAACAAAAAGTGGTCTCATGACCATTTTAAGTACATGTGGGTCCCACCCATTTTCCTTTTTCTTTTCCCTTTTTCTTTTTGTTTTAAATCACACCACACACACAAATATATACACATATGCACATATATATATATATTGACACAGACATTACAATACAGCTATGTAACTATTTTCCCCCTACTATATATTAACTCCAGAGAATTCATATTGAAATGCATATTGCACACACAACTATTCACTTCAATGAGACACTAAGTGGAAATTCATGCATCTAAATCAAAATATAGAAGTGGAGATTCACACACACACACACATGCAAATCAATAAGACAAAAAGTTGAAACTCATGCAAGTAAATCAAAATATAGAAGTGGACATTCATACACACACACAAACACACATATATGCAAATCAACAAGACAATAAGTCGAAATTTATGCATCTAAATCAAAGTATAGAAGTGAAGATTCATACACATAATATACATATATATATATAATCTGCCAGAAAATATTGAAACCAGGAATTAATTAATTACCATTGTTACAACACCATTCTTCAGATCCTTCTTAAGAACACCAACCTTCTTCCCTGATTCTGGCAGAAGATCGATGCTCCCACAGTACAACCTGCCATATATTCCTTGCTCCCATTCTTTCCGGGCTTCACCTTTGACGAAAAACAGTGTCGTTATCAAGCGATACCTCCACGTCCTCTTCCTCAACGCCAGGCATGTCCACTATCACATACAAACCCTTCTTCACTGCCTCAGCCTCAAACCCCCCTCTTGGACCATAAAAATGATGTGAATTCTTAACTAATCAACCTCTGAACACATACAAAAATCGAACAAATGTTAAACACAACACAATATGTAAAGAGAGTTAGTGTTAGTGAATGAAAAGAGCTTTCTCTGGATTATATATATACACACATTTGAGAAGGTGAACGATCGTAACCACAAGGATGTTGCAGGCGGCGATCCTATCAGAACTTCCGGTAGGAGTGGTGGGGCAGAAAAAGTCAGTGGTGGATCTACCGGAAGCCATTGATGCAGAGAGAGAAAGTAGATTCAATAAGGGTTTATGGAGGGTTTACAATGTTTGTTAGCTCAGCTAGAGAAAGAGAGACTCAAGCGGTGGTTGTGGGGGAGAAGTTTGTGCGGAAGCCACAGCATCCAAGAGCTGTATGAAGTCGTGAAGAGGTTAGTTATTGTGAACTTCAATTGAATTAATCAATTAAAAAATAGATCAGCAGGGGAACAAGTGTGACATCAAATTCAGTCACAACGGATGTTTCACCTGTCCACTGTGATAATAGAACTTAGTGTCACTACATCCAAAAAAAATGAGGTAATATGACTCAACAGCAAGATTCCGCATTCCTTTGTATATATTTATAGATGCACAAGAGAAAACACTATATACACAAATTAAAACTATTTTAGCTAGCTAAAAACTAAAGAACCAGATCTATATTTCAAGTAAACCATTAAAAAAATATTCAATAAAACAACAGCAAAGCTCTAAATCACATAATTATTTCTAAGGTATAAATATATTTATACCCAGTGAGATCAATAGCCTGCGAACAGCCAGCTCATGATTCTCGAACTAAAATTCAATCAAAATTAAAAAAATTAACCAAGACAGGCCGCGGTTTGAGCTTAGGCAAGAAATGCAAATTCTCTATTTACATGGAGGATATATACTTAGAAAGTTGGCTGAGAATCATCTGAATGATGGTTAAATAGTTTAAAAAATCAAATGAATTGGTATATTTATCAAGTTTGAAATTCATTTTAGTCCAAAACATTGTCAAGGATCTAAAACAATAGAAACATAATAAAAAATCGAAATACAACAAATATAGATTCTTTGAACGAGAAGCATCAATGGTTATCTTATATAGGAATATTATGTTCTAGTTCTATTGAAGACCAGTTCTCCAGTAAATTACCAAAAGAGAAAAGATAAAACAATAAAATAGATTAGCTCTCCAGCGTCACTGATATTCTGAAGATCATACACAAACTTCATACGTTCAAATGATTACTACAATGTTCCTTGGCATGCACGTTAGAGGCTTAAATAAAGTGTTTGCAGCTTAAGAGTCATGAGCAAGAGAGTTCTAATGCCCCAAAAAATTGAAGCTATGAACAAAATGAAGAAATAAAAGGAATATATCAAGATACAGCATGCAGCATGAATTAGTCTGATGTGGTCATATACTCAAAGCACTAGTGGGCATTCACAACATATGGTAAATCAAGAGTTTCAGAAGCAATACGGAGAGGGAACTAATTTTTTGAACATGCATTTAAAAGTTTAAGCCTTAGTGACAAACTAGCGCGTGGCTTTACAAAACAATAAACACACATCCAGACATTTTTGGTCGCTTTTCTGTAGAAAGTAACTATAATGAATAGAACAGAGTTAGCTGAAATATAAGTTCCTTGATTACATATCTATTTTAAGCACACTCTAATCTACTAGATTCTGGAAATAAATTTTATATTACAACTAGCTAACATCTTTTATTAACAGGATAAACTTCAACAACCTTATCACAGCATTGAAAGATATATACCATAACAACACATACAAAAAACAAAAAAATACCTATATACTGTTATTGACCATGTATATCTGATTCAAAGAGCTAGAAAATTTGACAAAGTAACAGTAATTGTTGGTCGCAGTGACCAGGCCAGGGCGACTGCTTACCTGATCCCATTGATAACGAGTGGGCCCAAATAATTCGATGGACAATAAAAATATATATGGATGCGAGTTCTACACAAGATGTGAACATGGCGGGCAGAGGACTTTATTGATTCATCTCATCAAATATTTGTTCCAAGAACATTTGACAATATTACTACAGATTCAATTCCATTAGAATGAGGTGTAACTCATGATTTTGTCAAGCATGCAAATTTAATGATAAAAAATATATATTTTATTATTTTGACAGACTCAAATTGCTAACATAATCAATAATATTCGGAATGTGTTCTTATATATGTATTGAGTAACAGATTACAATAATGCCGTTGCTGTTTAGCAAATGAGGTAACAATAAGTCTTCATATGGTATAAAAAACGAATTGTGAGTCAAAAAAAAAAATGTTGATCCCATATCACTAATAAAATTCTACAATAAATTGCCTATCATGAAGAGTCGAAATTTCACAGACTGGCATTTGTCTTTTTCCTACGTGATATATCATTAAAGAACAAAGCACGGACTACAAAAGGCAAAGAGTGCATCCGCTCAGAATACAAAAGGGATTAAGAAATCCCACTACCAAAATCAAGCCACAAGGAACAGGAAAAACCATAGAACAGTCACATTAAAGGGACAAATAAGAACTAGTCTAGACTCAGCAAACCACAAACTATGAAAAGGAATACACGGTACACCAAAAAGCAAAGCGACCAAGCAACAAAAGATGAACAGGATCATCATTTGATCTCAATCAATAAAACTACACAAAGCACAATATATCCCCAGGCCAATTCAACATTAATAGCAAATACATGTATTTATCATCAAATCCTACAACTCGTTTTGGCAATCCCTACACATTTCCCAGATCAAAAAATGAGTTTAACTCCTACAATAACAATAAATTTTATAGATTCACGAGGAGATAAAGGCTACAAATTAACTTAACGATTAGGATTAAATTTCACTTCCTAAAAGGCTAAACCTAACAACCAACCTCCCATTCCAGCATATTGATCTCATATATTCTTCATAAGGCCAACTAGAATCAGTAAAATATATATTATCAATCCCCTTCTTAATATTTCAGAGGATCGTATATTTAGGAACCAAGACATTTTAGCTGCAACTACCATGGCACCATACTGCCCTTAAACTATTCTTCTGTATCAGCCTCTATCATATATTAACTCTAGAGAAGTCATATTTGCATGCATCTATACACACATATATACAAATCAATAAGACAATGAGTGGAAATTCATGCATCTAAATCAAAATATAGAAGTGGAGATTCATGCATACATACATACATATATAAATCTGTCACAACATATTCAAAACAGGAATTAATTAATTAATTACGATCGTTAGGACACCATTCTTCATATCCTTCTTAAGAATACCAACCTTCTTCCCCTATTGGGGCAGAAGTTCTCTGCTCCCACAGTACAACCTGCCGTAGATTTCTTGCTCCCATGCTTTCCGGGCTTCACCTTTGACAAAAAGGGTGTCATACTCCAGCCATACCTCCACGTCCTCTTCCTCAACCCCAGGCATGTCCAATCTCACATATAAACCCTTCTTCACTGCCTTAGCCTCAAACCCCTGTTTCGGCCATAAAAAAAAAGATGAGCCCTCTTAACACAAAAAGTAAACAAATACTAAGCACAATACAATATGTAAAAACAGAGCCAATGATGAATGAAAAGAGCTTTCTCAGAAAGTGTGTGAACAACAAAAATGTTAGGGGTAAGATTAAAAAATAAATGGCACACACACAAAACAAAATTGTAAAACAGAGTAGTAAGAGTGATAGTGAACCAAAAGTGCTTTCTCGGGATGAATGTGTGTGTATATATATGTTTATATATAAATTTGAGGAGTTGAACAATCGTGGGTATGATTGAAAAAACAACAAAAATGCAAAAGTGATATATATGTGTGTATATAAATATATATATATATATAGTGTGCACATTTGAGAAGGTGAACGACCGTACCCAAGGTGGTTGCAGGCGGCGACGCTGTCAGGACTTCCGGTGGGAGCAGTAGTGTAGAAAAACTTGGGTGGAGCAACGAAAGACCGAGTGGCAGAGAGCGGAGCGACCACATGTGGGCGGAAGAGGTTGGTGAAGAAGACAATTAAAGCGGTGGCTCCGCTTGCAAGGTTGTTATAAATGGCCATCGATGGAGGAACGGCGGCGAACGGAGGAACCACCGGAATCGGACAGTTTGGGCAAAGGAGGTTGACAAAGAAGAGGTTAATTCGATCTCCTTATTAGGGAAGCGTGGGAAAGCCTTTGAAGAGTTTCTAGGGTTAGATGTGTTCCCTAGAGAGAGAGAAAGAGGAGGGTTAGGAGAGAAGGTGGGTCTGTGCAATAGTATTAAGCAGTTCATGAGGGAGAAAAAAAGGAGGGGCTGTGGGTGACGTGTGATGTTGGCTTTTGAAAAAAAATAAAAAAATTGGAACTCACATAATCATATTTTATGACATTTACAAAAGTGAGAATATATTTAGAAACAGAAATTTTGTCTTCGAAATTGTAATGTGTAATTTAAACTACAATTACAACTTAAGCTGTCGATAATTTTATCCATACATTCACAGGCTTTCATGAAAATATTGTACTGAAATTTGACCTATTAATTTTACAATTATTCGCAATAAAAAATAGCTTGATCTAATATAGAGAGAGAGAGACCTCAACCCAACTGATTAGGCTATACTATAAATCTTATACGGCACAAATTGAGATCGTTGAACCTTTTTTTCAGGATATATACAGACCATACTGTATAAATCCTAAGCAAATACCGAGTAAAATTTATTTATAGTTGTACCACAAAATCAGGGACTTCTATGAGAAAGCAAAAGCTGATTTCGGTTTGTTTATGGCTCATTTTGAATTTGTTAGTTAAACAAATGAGTCGTGTTCAAGTTTAATTTTTAGGCTCATTTAGTAAGCAAGTCGATCTTGAACAATGTGGTAGTCTCGTTTCGTGTAAGCTCGTGAATATAAACATGTATGGGTTTATGATTATAAAATAGGCTCACGTATATGTTCGTAAACTGTAGACTTGTTTATATGTTTGCGATTGTTTACAAATATAAAATAAAAATACAATAATTTACTTGCGAGTTTGAAGACGAATCGATTTTGAACACGAGTTCAATTTGATTTCTTAAATGAGCGGAGCGAAAACATAATTTTTAAAATCGTGATGAGCTCAAGCTCTCGAACTTTCCTCACTCTCTTCTCGTATCTCTATCTCTATCTAGTCCCTTTACTTTTGCAAAAACTAAAATCTCCCCACTCTCTTCTCCTTTCACGCTCTCTTTTCTATGTATTTAATATGAATTTTATTTTGTTTTAAGTGGAAATGTTTCATGGCATTCGGAGTACTTATCATCATATGTCTTTCTTGGAGTCAATGAGATTATCCTATAGGTACGATGTCTATAGTAAATAATAACAGTACAGATTGTTAAATTTGTGATGATGCACAATAGTAATTCCTATCAAAGCTTCTACTATAGTGTCTCATACACTAAAATCATCATAAGTCCATAAAATAATTATCTAGCTAGTAGTAACGTCCACATAAGAGATCGGTGAATATTGTCTCAGAATTGTCGCAAAAGAAAAACTACATATAAAATAATCACATACTTTATAGACTTTTCCAAGCACCCAATGCGGGATCATACTTATAGGTCAAATAATATAATAATAGAGTTAAAAAATAAATGAAGGAAAATAAATGAAGGAATAACTTTTAATTTATGATTTCTCTGCTATTAAGTGTAGGGTTCTTTGAATGGAGAGAACGAAGTCTTCAGTCTTGACTCTTGATTTCTTGTATCCCTGATTCACTTTTATTCTCGTTCCAAAAATTACTCCAAAACATTTCATATTCTCTCTACTATTAAGTTTAGGGTTCTTTGAAATAAAGGAAAGATTCGAACAAAGTATTTGATTTTGAACATTGCTATTTCAAAGACAATGATTGTCATCTTGAGACTTGAAAACAGATTAAATGTATAAAATGAATGAAATTCATTATTAATTTTTTTTACCGTTAGAAGTAAAAAAAAAATTCTTTTCTAATATGCTCCATTCACTGTTACGTTTTTGCTTTTATAAAGCAACTTGTTTGATTAATTTATGCATTTTTATAAATCAGGTTCGCTATATCGGTTGCGATTGACGCGAACCATGATTGTAATGAACTCATATTTGATGTTTTTTTGTTTAAATGAAATTTTTATAAAAGATATATTTAATATTATAAATGAATATTTCATAAATTTATAATAAGGCGCTCTCGCTTTAAGATTTTTAAATTTTTGCTCTCTAATTTAGCTTACAGGTATATTTTTCTCTAAAATATTTTTGAGAACCAATTTAAAAGTTGCTTCATATATTCTTCCCTGCTCATCTGTCAATAAAACAACACAACAACACCTAAAAAAAAAAAATTTTAAAAAAAGGAAAAAAAATTAAAAAATGAGTTTTTTTTTTTTTTTTTTGGTTAATAATCATATGTTCCAAGTGCATAGTAATTGAGAAGGAAGTAGAGTAGAGTCACCCCCTCACTAAAACGCACAAGCAGCAAAACTAGCTTCACAATGAGAGGGTCCATCAATCGTATTGAAAATGATCATCCATTTCTAGAGGTGAGAGAGAAACTGTGATTTAATTTAGTGAATTCTATCTAATAAAAATAACAATTCAAAACGGTTAAGTTTATGTTTATCAAGTACCAATTCTATTAAATTAAAATAGATAGTCTATGTTTATCGTATCAAATAAATAAGTAAGGTTAAGTTTATCCCAAAAATGAAGCCACCAATGCTATTAAAACCATCTTACGAATAAAGTTGAAATGAAATACAATCTTATGAATAAAAATATAGTACAGAGGGAATGTTATTATTAGAATGTCACCACCACCATGGAAGAGATGGAAGAGCCTAATTAAGAATTTATCATTAAAATTATTGAAAAATACAATACTAATATATAATAATAAGAAAACTAGAAATTGCAAGAGCAAGTTGCACCAACACATCTTTCCGTAAGTATCTCGATCTCATTGATCTCATTCTTCTTCCATTGTGTAGCGTGACCGATTGATGAAAGACTAATATTTCCTTCCTCGGAGACAATGAGACTAACCTTATACGTACAATGTCTATAGTAAATAATAACACATACCATCAAATTTTTGATACAAAGACATATGTTGTTGCCTTTTTGAAAAACAATGGTGATACAAAGACATATGTTGTTGCCTTTTTGAAAAACAATGGTGATCCCCATCAAAGCTTCCACTAAAATGTCCCATACGCTAAAATCACCATAAGGTCCATAAAGTAATTCTCTAAACATCGCAAAGTGTCTCAAAAGAAAAACTACACATAAAGTGATCACAGACCTCATAGACTTTGCCAAACACCCAATTCGGTGATCATGCTTGAATTTTAGTTTATATTCATGGGCAAAATGTGAGAAAAATAAAATTAAAATGTGTATATTTATTGTCACCATATCATAGAGTATGATAGCATATCCCATATTATCATATAGTATTCTATAAGATTTGTTATCTTCTCTATCATTGCAAAGTTGAGTGTCCCACATCCAATAGAGGCCAAAGAGAATCCACAGATTACCAGCATTTTCTGCATTTTTCTGCATTCAAAAGTAAGTTGTAGAAAATAATAAGCCAAAGCTTGAGAAAACCCCTAAATTATTAAAAAAAATTATAAATTCGGTGATCATGCTTGCATTTTAGTTTATATTCGTGGGCAAAGTAAATAAATATATAATGAAGAATAAGTTTATCCCAAAAATGAAGCCACCGTTCCCTTAAAAATGACAAGTACACATAAGACGACAACGTTTTCTTAAAATACATAGGGCAAACTACAATGACCTCCCCTGAGATTTGGACCAATTGCAACTAAACCTGAGGTTTGCCATTTTGTTGTATTACAAACCCGCAATGGTCAGCAAGGAGTGGGTGACCACAATTTCCAGTGATTCCAGTGCATCTGAATGGTGACAGCTAGCACGATATATGACGGATGATGGTGATGAAGAAACAAAGAAGGAAGTGCTCGGACTAGAGAGGATTCTGGCGAGGATGGAGGACTGGCACAGCGGCGGCAAGAATCTGGCGAGACGAACCGACGGTGCAGAGAACTTGAAGGAAGGCAACCTTGGTAATGTGGCGATGGAAGTAAGCAGACGGTGGAGGAATGACCCAATAGCGGTGTCAGCAACGACAAGAGAAATTGCTATTCCGGTGATGGGTGGGATGACGACGGCCTCGGTTGTGGATGATAGTGGGCAAAAGGGTCATTTGTTAATTTTTTTTAGATATTTTGATTTTTTTTAATACTATAATAATGAGGATAGATAGGTAAATTTATTGCAAAATCTGACATTGGGTGGTCTTTGCAACAAAATGGCAAACCTCATAGGTTTAGTTGCAATTAGTCTAAACCTCAAGGGAGGTCATTGTAGTTTGCCCTAAAAATTAAGAAACGTTCCATTACCAACTGTCTACTTACTCTAACAAGAAGACCAAAGGCGTAGACAATGCCAGACAAGTTTGGGCCACCGCAAATTGGCCCATTTCTAATACCTATACCATCTTAACCATAATATATGTTGTGTAGTACATTTTGAAATGAATTCACTTACTATTACTAGTATATACTCTTGTCGGAAATTAAATGTTTTCCTTTTTATTTTTGATTATCCTCAAAATAAATGTCAAAGTAATATTCATTTGTAATATTACCAATTTAACCTTATCGCATTAAACTTATAAAAAGTAAATCATCACATTATGTGAACCCCTATGAACATATTTAGTAATTTATTCACTACCGATGCAATAAAAAAATATTAAAACTAAAAAGTTAGATTAGTTCAATTCGGGACGGAAGGAGTATATATGAGTGAACTATAAACTGCTATTTCTTATTTCTTATTTACGCTAGCCTCAGTACTTCTCAATGTAAGCTAGGCAAAATCGGAATTGAAGTAATAATGAAACGACTAGCATTAATTTGTAAACAATGTTAATGATACATTTAGTAACATAAATTACAAGTTTTGAAGTGAAAATTTGGAAGTTGCGTAAGTCTAAATTTATTATTACTATTATTTTTATTAACTTAAATTTTGTTTTTGTATTTTTGTTGACGATGATGATGTTAGGTCATTTAGATCATTCAATAATTCATCATTGAACACTAATACATTAATTATTGATTTTTTTTTTCAAAGAGAGGCTTTAAGGGGATTCGATAAACCTGGCAAATTTTCCAAACGGGGAATGTTACAGTATAGTCAAATTTGTTTGTTACC